AGGGTGAGAGGGTGGACCTGTGAGGAATGGGAATCAAGTGTGATTGAGGTATGTTGTATGACATTCTCAAATGATTAATAAAATATTAGGTTGGGAAAACAAAAAAGTGTGAAATAGTATGTATTTTGAATTTGGCCTACAACTGATTGTTGATTTTAACTATATGACTTGAACCATAGCGTAACTATCATAGCCATTTTTCTGGGGATGTAAAGAGACACCATGTTCAAAGCGATTATTACAAGAGAAAGCATTTAATCTGGGGCTTGTTTTCAGTGTCAGAGGTTTAGGCCATTATCATCATGGCGGGAAACATGCTGGCATGCCGGCAGACTCTGGAGCAGTAGTTGAAAACAATATCCTGATCCATAGGCAGAGAGAGAAAAGACTTTGGACCTGGCATGGGCTTTTGAACCCTCACTGCCCACTCCCAATGACACATTTCCTCCTACAAGGCCCCACTTCCTAATTCAAGCATACGAGTCTATGAGCCTATGGAGGCCATTCTTATACAAACCACCACATTATCTGAGAGTACTTTTTAAAATTTGGTTTATTCTTTCAAGAGCTTATACATTTATACAATATATTTTTATTTTATCCATTGACCATTTCTTTTCTTCAACTCCCTGTAGAGTTCCCAGTCTGTCATCTTCTCAACTTCATGCATTCTCTTTTTTTATTAATAACCCTCTGAGTCTACTTAGTGTTGCCCATGTGTACATGTGTCTGAGTCCATCTACTAGAGCATGGAAAACCTAACAGAGGCCATTTCTCCAAAAGGAGTGACTTTTCCTTTCTCAGAAGCCATCAGTTGCTCATAGCCCCTCCAATCATGTGACATTAGACACATCCTTCTCAATTCATGTTAGAACTTTGAAGAGTTTGATCTTGAGTAGGTAGATAAAGGTACTGTTAATTGGATTATGCAGCAGTTATTTTATTTACAGAAATCTGCATTTTAAATCTCTGACTCAGTTGTCTCTTCAATTCTTTCTGCATGCTTTTCTGTGATATCCTCATGATTTTTGGTGAGTGAAGGGTAATATAGCAGATTCATCCATGGATGAGGTCTCAGTTACTTATAATCTGTATTTTGACCAGCTATGAGTCTTTAACTTAACAGCAATACTCTGAAAAAGAAGTGTATCAAGAGATATTGAGACCATTATTAGAAAAAGTACAGAGACAACTAGTCAAACTAGTGGAAACACATGAACTGTGAACCAATCGCTGAAGAGCCCCCGTGGTACTGGACTAGGTAGGCCCTCTGGATAAGTGAGACAATTTTATCTTGAACTGATTTGGGGTCCCCCATACACTGGGACAAGACCTGTCCTTAGTGCATGAGCTGGCTTTTTGGAACCTAGGGCCTATCCTGAGACACTTTGCTCAGCCTTGGTGCTGAGTCTCGCCTATACTTCCTGCCTAGCCATGGGCCAATCAGTATTTTATTACTGACCAATCAGAGCATCTTGACATACAGACCATTCCCCAGCACAGCCAAATGCAGACCATCTCAGACACCTGCACTCAGGCCCCTGGTCCTAATCATCCTCTATGCGAACTTGCTGGGTATAGCCATGAGGAACCCAAGAACGGGCTCCCACAGGACATACAGAACATCCTACAGCAGTGATGTCTTCAAAAAAGTTTTACCATCTAGTTATATTTCAAAAATAAGAGTGGTGGCAGTTGCCTGCATTGTTTCAGGTGATTCTCTGACCAAAATTTGTAGGGAGGTAACTATGCTGGGCACACATTTTCATTTACTGACTAATACCTTTTGAAAACATCATTGTTCACATGTGGAGAAACTTCCTCTCCAAACTCTTTTCAATATACATTATATTTCTAATTAGCTTACAAACTAGTGTATTTCCACAAGGCTTCTGCAAATATCCATACATATATTTCAACATCCCATCCCCATCCTCACTTAAACTTTTAACCATATTATCCCAACCACCTATTTCTCATTACCTGTGTTCTACAATCCACTCTAATTATACAGTATATTACACAGGTGGCTATTTCATAGGTTTCTGTATAGTATTAGATACACCCTTCATTTTGATTAGGCATTCCACCACTCCTTCATTTTCCCACCCCACTCCTTTCAATGTTTTATTTATTTCCTCCTCCAGTATTTCCCATTTTCCTTATGTTTTACTATCTCCCCTCCATTTATGTGTATCTCCCCAAAGGGCTTCTTTCTTAAGTACCTGGGTTACATGTAAAGTCCAGGTTAATCTTACACACAAAGGATTCAAAGATAACATTCACAGCTAAGAGAGAACATGACATTTGTCTTCCTGATCTGCTTGTATTACTCAGGATAAGTTTTATCAGTTCCATACATTTAACAGTAAATCTCATGATTATAATTTCTTATAGGTTAGTAATATTTCATTGTGTCTATGTGGCACAATCTCCCCTTAACCATTCTTCAGCTGATGGGCATCTAGGTTGATTCAGTTTCCTATTGTGAATGGAGCCGCAGTGAAGATGGATGTACAAGTGCCTCTGTGGTAGGTTTACGAATCTCTTCTGTATGTATGCAAGAGTTCTGAACATAGTTCATATGGCAGTTCTGTTTTTATATTTTTGAGAAACCTCCACATTGATTTCCACAGCGGCTACACCAGTTTGCATACCCACAATCTCTCTCTCTCTCTCTCTCTCTCTCTCTCTCTCTCTCTCTCTCTCTCTGTGTGTGTGTCTGTCCGTCTATCTATCTATCTATCTATCTATCTATCTATCTATCTATCTATCTATCTATCTATCCATCCATCTATCTATCATCTATCTATCTATTTATATAAATTCTGAGTGAGGTAAGATGAAATCTCAAAATTTATTTTTTTATGCATCTTAAATAATATAATTTTATATTTATATTAGTTTACTTGAAATAATATATAATTACATCACTTCACCCTTCCTTCCCTTCCAATACCCCACATCCTCTTTAATTGATGGCATCTGTTTCTTTAGTATTGTTACATATAAATGTGCATGTATTTATAATTATAACCTGATGAGTCCATTTTTTTAATCTCATGGCTGACCACTTTGTATTGATTAATCAATTAGGGGGTCTCATTTCTTGACATGTAAATCTTCCTTCTCTCACCAGTCATTAGTTGCCTATAGTTCTTTTCTAGGGGGGACACATGTTTTTTTCCCCTTACCATCATGCCCAGGTCTTATTTAGGCAGCAATACTGTTGCAATATCATGGGTATAGCTTCCTTTTCATTTTTAGGAGACACAATCCCAAAGTAGAATTTCTTGTCCTCTGGCTCTTAAAATACTTCTGTTTCTCCTGTGATGTTTCCTGAATCCAATGTCAGGAGTTGTGTTATATTGTAGATGTATTCTTTGGGCTTTGGCTCCTGACATTTTGTTTCTCTCTCTAGCATTACTTGTTCTTGTCATGGCCTCTGTTTCATTCATTTGCAACACAGAGAAGTTTCTCTGATGAACGCTGAGAGCTACATTTATCTATCGTATAATGGTAAGATTTAGAATGCAATTTGGAATTATATACCACCCCCGGTAAAGTGGTGTTAGTACTTAATCTAAGATACATGATCTCATTACCTCTGTGTATTTGGCTAGATTTCTAGTACTAGTAAACACTTTCAGTGTTCTCCCCCTGCAACCTACCCTCAACCTGATCCCTTATGTTCCAATCACCACCCACCTTCAGTGCACCCATGAAATCTCTTCTATTTCTCCTTACCAGGGATATCCATGTGTCATCTCTTGGGCAATCCTTGTTACCTAGCCTCTCTGGATTTATGGATGGTAACATGGTTGTCCTTTAGTTACAACTAATATCCACTTGTGAGTGAGTATATACCTCGTTTGTCTTTCTGGGTCTGGTTTACCTCACTCAGGATTTTTTTCTAGTTCCATTCTTTTGCTGAAAATTTCATGATGTTGTTGTATTTAACAGCTGAGTAAGTTAAGTTTTCTGTATCTGGTGTCTAGACAAAACTGAAGCTCAAAAAGAGTAGGTGGATGCACTAAAGACCTTTGACCTTAAGGGGATAAAGGATGCTTCAACCCATTTTCTGGCCATTGGGTTGCTTTAGGACTGCTTTGGGCCTGGCAGAGACCTCTGAAGTCCCTGCATACAGCATTCTTCCTTCTGAATGTCTTGTCTATTCTGTTTGTTATTGTTGTCATTCTCTTGTGGTGATTGTCAGTAAATTAACATTTACCCTGGGACAAGGTTCCTCTAAGCCTCACGTCCCTTTCAGGATTTGTTCTCTCATCTCCAGGATGTCAGGAACATAACAGTACATTTTCCAGGCTTCCCTGCCCTTTGCTGCCTCAGGAGTCCAGGCTCCCCAAGGCGGTGTGAGCAGCCTTAAGCTAAGGGAGAGGACGGACCCTCCCCATTGTACATACTGCAGTTTTCGAATGAAAAACAAGGAAGAACCCAGCAGAGGGAGGCGAAGGAGACTATGAGG